TTTCCCTTCCCTGATCTTGTGGTACTTTCATAGACAACCTTCAAGTATTATCGGATGAAAGATTGAGAAAATAGATGATTGATAAACAAGGTGTCTGTGATGGAGTTGTTGAGCAGGGCATGATTGTTTTGAGCGTGACTGCTCAATATATATCGGTTATGTACGCAGTAGCCAGAGCTGCTTGTCCACTAGACCAGTCTATTAAATAGTTTTAATCAAGCACGCTTCCTTGCTTGCATCGTTGTTATGGAAATCAATGCCATTATTCTTTTCAGGAATTAAACAACGCCTGGAAACGTCTAAACGAACTTGCAGCGACGCGAAAGGAGAAACTGTTCGGTGCTCATGAGGTGCAACGCTTCAATAGGTAGGCGAAGCGGCCTGATGTTTCTTTAATTATAGCAGTTTTTACGTGACTGAACTTCGGTGACATACTGTTGCGTTCGATGTTTTCAGATACTTTGACACTTAACTTCTGTTATTGTTCTCTGTATCCATAGCTGTTGGTCGCAGTGATTCCTTACTATACCAAGTTGTGCCTCAGTCGCAGCCAATGTGTGCATGAATTGAAAACAATGAATTTTTGAGAAATCACAGATAGCGGACCAAATCATGAAAACTTTGAAACCTTTGGGGGATTCTGCATTTAATATTACGTGTTTGCAGTTGCTGATTTCGTGACTGATTACACTTAAAAAGATAACTTGAATAAATAAAGGGTTTAAAGAGTTTGTCCAGAGAAAATGTGGGATGCTTTTAGCGCACGCGGAGGTACTGTTTCAGGCGGGAACCAGGCTTCGACAGAACATGCCAGCCGACGTAACCAGTTAATCAGTTTACCACCTGTAATATATAAGCTCTCGAAGGTTACTGAGAATAGGGTGGTTATCGTTGAGCGATTAAGGATTGCGTATCTGCCCCAGACTGTAGCTTGACAGATTAACTAACGAAATCGCTGAAACTTGATAGGATAGTTTTTTCATGACAACTTACGCCACCAGCATCAGCAGAAAGCTGTCTGACTGGCACGTCGATGAAGAGGGCATATAATTACCGTTGTCGAAGTACTGTCTATTTATCAACATGCCGATCACGCCGTCAGTAGAAACTGGGAGATTAAAGTTGAACATGCACAAAAATAACCCCTCCCCCCGGTATTATGGTTTTCTAGGAAACTGATATTTTTCGATACCGCTGGTGAAACAGTGTTATCGTGCAAGTTTTTCGGATTTACACGGCATAATCGCACCGTCCACGGGCTTCTAATAGCTTAGGGGACCATTTAAACAGATCACGGCTTCATGGTATTTTAGCACCTAAAGTGTATGTATGTAAAACCGCATCACTGATCAAAGCAGGATAAAATCCTGTTTGCACACCTACCACAATCCCGCTAGTTCTGAAGTTTAACAGAATGTTCCCCTGTATAAATGAAGTAAATCAAGCAGCCGGAAGTTGTTTACGCTTAAGGGATTCTGCTATGTAACTGTTCAAATATTGTTATACTCATCATGTCCAGCAGTTTTCCCCCTCAGTTTTTCAGTAATATTTTGAGCATTTCGCCTATGGATCATCCCGTTTTTGAAAATGTTTTGTGTGATGAGGCAACGCCAGACCCCATAAATTTTTTTAGGCGCTTTGCAGTTATTGGAGGAACTTACGATCTGGCAGTTAGTTCAGCTATTTAATGATGTCTGCAGCTAAGCTTGAGCCATTTGCTATTTGAACAAAATTATAATAATCTGAAGGGTTTATTTTGAGTGTTTCATTGATTGGTTATCTTTTTTCCCCAGTACCTCCTTTTAAGAGGTGAGCATTTCTAGGTTGTAATTTCTATGTATGTAATATTTTTCCGTACATAATTTTTTCAGTATTTTTGTATTAGTCAGTGCAGTAAATGTTAATTTTAGAGACATTGAGGAGACTGTTGCATGGATATCTGAGAAAGACACTGCACTTTCATCCGACGAATACGGGCGCGACTTGACGACAGTTCAAGCACTTCAGCGCAAGCATGAAGGCACGGAACGGGACTTGGCTGCGTTGGAAGGCAAAGTATATTGTCATTTGCTAGCTTTTGTATGCCTATTCTTATCGAAGCGTGCGCTTGTTCGTTTAGGTACAAAGTCTGAGTACCGAAGCAGAGAGACTGATGCAGCTACACCCGGACAGAACTGATGTAATTAAATCGAAAATGAACGAGGCAGAGGAGAGCTGGGAGAATCTGAAAGAGAAAGCGGCCCAACGCAAAGCCGGTTTGGACCGCTCGTATGCACTGCACCGATTCTTTGCCGATTACCGCGACTTGATTTCTTGGATCACGGACATGAAAGCAGTGATCGTCGCGGACGAATTAGCAAAAGACGTTGCAGGTGCCGAAGCGTTGCTCGAAAGGCAGCAGGAACATCTGGTAAAATAGCGGCGCTACGAGCTGCATTCACAGCCGACGTCATGTATTGTAGGGAGAAATCGACGCTCGGGAGGATAGTTTTCGAGCAGCTGAAGAAGCAGGGCAGCATCTCCTCGATGAACACGTGCCATACAACGATGAAGTTCAAGAAAAGGTTTGATCAGATATCATTGGAGACGGTAAGGGTTACTTACTTATGGTGCACCTTGTTTAGATGTTGAATCTGGCAGAGGAAAAGGCCGCCCTGCGAGCACTTTGGGAAGACCGACGAGTACTGTACGAACAGTGCATGGACTTGCAGCTGT